TTTTAAAGAGATATCATTTTGCTCTTTTCCTGTAATTCTCTTGAGTTCTCTACTGCTGAATTCTTAAATGCTTCCTTTCTTCATCTAAGGGATAATTAAGATCAATACTTGGGGCCAGGAGGAAGAAAATTGGCTTTCTTTATAAGTAAGGAATCCTTTCTATTACCCCATTAAACATAAGCATCACCTTTCTAGCAAACACAAAACTACCATGCAGCCAACCAAAGAAAGGTTTATTCTAGTTTTTTCTTTTTTTTCTCAATTTAGTGTTTGTCAAAATATTGAAGAACTATACTATTTTTTTTCCCTGAAAAGATAAGTAGCTTTATTAGCTTATAGTAATTGGCCTAGCTGTTTTATTTTTGTTTTTATAGATTAGATTTGTAGATTGCTGAGTGACTTTTAGAACAAGGTGTTCAACTCATTGGTGGGTCATGAAATCAGTTTCGTAGGTTGTGATCAGCAGTTTTTAAAAATGAGATGATAGCAAATAGAGTTTGTCACACATAGCAACTGTACTTGTTTTGTGAAATATATTTTTTCAGCTATATGTACACATGCTTCTCTGTGTGTGCATATGTGTGGGTGTGAGTGTGAGTACTGTGTTCCAAGATAAAAAGTATTCCTTACTGTGGGTTGAGAACAGCAAAAAATATTTTTAAAATAGTTTATAAAAGTGTTTTAGAGGATCATCTAGGAGTCCGTGATGGCTGAAATAATTGATGATCTTCCTGTGAAGAAATAGGTAGTAAATAATTGCTGAGCTGAACACCCAGATTCGCAAATTTCATTTCAGTGGGATTAAATAAAAATGTTAGGTTCAGAGATGGTGCTCTTACATCTTTTTTGGAAGTCATTGCACACTTGTTTTATTCCTTGCTTAAACAATATATCTTAAAAACACTATGTCAATATATTTTCAGGACATTCAAAAATCAAAACACCATTGAACCTCTGTGGTTCACATTTTGATGAAATATAAATATTTCCATCTTTTTTTTTACTCCCTTTGCCTGAAATGCTCTGTTTCCAGTTGGTCATATATGATAAGTACTTTGTATGATTCAGATATCATTTCTAATGTCTCTCCTAGGGAAGGCTTTCTGGAACCACAAATCTAAAGTATATTCCCTTAGTATGTCACAATATTTTTTTCTTTTTAATGATACTTATCACTCCCCCAAATTATCTTGCGTAATAAAACATTTTTATTTTTCTTTATGTTCTACCCACCCAATCTAAAATCCACTTGTCCATCTCTCCAGAAAGTAAACTACGCAAGAGCAAGCTCCTTGCCTGTCTTGCCTTAGAGAAGTCTCTGACACAAAGTCGTTGCTCAGTAAGTATTTGTTGATTAGATGACTGATTTAATTTCAGAAATAATAACAAAGCTTTGTTAATTGCTTTAAAAAAACTTTCTAAAACTGCAAATCAGGATGGCCACAGCAATATAACATTCATAATGATGTCTTTTCAGCCTGGCTTTGTCCTCATTAAGGCCTTATCTATTTACTTTTTTACTCTGACTAGCAGTATTTGGGTTCCAAATCTTGAATGGTTTAGGAAATAATCAGAAAAAAAGAAAAGCTTACTATTAACCTTGAGCAACAATGACATTTACAACTAGAATCAACAACTATCAGGAAGGCAATTAAAATACTTGGAGTTTGTAACTAAGGTGGATGCTTTAGTATATTCCAGGCAGCGCTGTAATATTGCAGGCATTGCAGTCTTGGTTCCAGACCACTGCCACAAGTCAAGTCACAAATTTTTAGTTTCCCATTGCATAAAAATTATGTTTATATTACATCACAGTCTATTAAGTGTGCAATAGCATTATGTCTAAAAAAACAATGTACATACCTTAATTTAAAAATACTTTATTGCTAAAAAATGCTAACCATCATCTGAGCCTTCAGCAAGTTGAAATCCTTTTGCCGGTGGAGGGTCTTGCCTGGATGTTGATGGCTGCTGACTGACCAGAGTGATAGTTGCCGAAGGCTGGGGTGGCTGTGGTAATTTCTTAAAATAAGATAGCAATGAAGTTTGCCATGTGGATTGACTCTTCCTTTCCCGAACGATTTCTCCATAGCATGTGATGCTGTTTGATAGCATTTTACCCACAGAAATTCTTTCAAAGTTGAAGTCAATCCTCTGAAATCCTGCCACTGCCTTATCAACTAAGTCTACGCAATACTCGAAATCCTTTGTTGTCATTTCAACAATCTTCATACCATCTTCACCAGGAGTAGATTCCATCTCAACAAGCCATTTTCTTTGCTTATCCACGAGAATTAACTCCTCATCCATTAAAGTTTTATAATGAGATTGCAACAATTCAGTAACATCTTCAGACTCCACTTCTAATTCTAGTTCTCTTGCTGTTTCCCCCACATCTGCAGTGACTTCTTCCACCCAAATCTTGGATCCCTCCAATTTATCCACGAGGGTTGCAATCAACTTCTTCCAAACTCCTGTTAATGTTGATATTTTGACCTCTTCCCATGAATCACAAATATTCTCAACGACATCTAGAAGGCTGAATACTTTCCAGAAAGTTTTCAATTTATTTTTCCCAGATCCATCAGAGGAATCACTGTCTGTGGCAGCTATAGTCTTATGAAATATTTTTCTGAAATAATAAGACTTGAAAGTTGAAATTCCTCCTTGATCCACGGGCTGCAGAATGGATGTTGTTTTAGCAGGCATGTAAACCACAGTAATCTTGTTGTACACCTGCATCTGAGCTCTTGGGTGACCAGGACATTGTCAACGAGCAGTCATATTTTGAAAGGAATCTCTTTTTCTGAGCACTGTCTCAATAGTGGGGTTAAAATATTCAGGAAACCATGTTGTAAACAGATGGGCTGTCATCCAGGCTTTGTTGTTCCATTTATAGAGCATAGGCAGAGTAGATTTACCATAATTCTTAAGGGCCATAGTCTTTTCAGAATGGTGAATGAGCATTGGCCTCAACTTAAAGTCACCAGCTGCAATAGCCTTTAACAAGAGAGTAAGGCTGTCCTTTGAAGCTTTGAAGCCAGACACTGACTTCTCCTCTCTAGCTATGAAAGTCCTAGAGGGCATCTTCTTCCACTATAAGGCTGTTTCATCTACATTGAAAATTTGTTGTTTAGTGTAGCTTCCTTCATTAACGATCTCAGCTAGATCTTCCGGATAACCAGCTGCAGCTTCTACATCAGCACTTGCTACTTCACCTTGCACTTTTATTTTGTAGAGAGGGCTTGTTTCCTTAAACTTCATGAACCAACCTCTGCTGGCTTTAGACTTTCTTCTGCATCTTCCTCACCTCTCTCAGCCTTTGTAGAGTCTAAGAGAGTTAGGACCTTCCTCTGGATTACGCTTTGGCTTAAGGGAATGTTGTGGCTGGTTTGGTCTTCTATCCAGACCACTAAAACTTTCTCCGTATCAGCAATAAGACTGTTTCACTTTCTTATCATTCATGTGCTCACTGGAGTAGCACTTTCAATTTTCTTCAAGAACTTTTCCTTTGCATTCACAGCTGGGCTAACTGGTTGGCACAAGAGCCTAGCTTTCAGCCTTGTCTTGGCTTTTGACCCGCCTCCCTCACTTAGCTCAATCATTTCTACCTTTTGATTTAAAGTGAGAGATGTGCAACTCTTCCTTTCACTTGAACACTCAGAGGATTCTACCATAGGGTTATTTATTGGCCTAATTTCAATATAATTGTGTCCCAGGAAATAGGGAGGCCCAAGGAGAGGGAGAGAGATAGGAGAATGGCTGATTGGTGGAGCAGTCAGAGGAAACGCAACATTTATCGATTAAGTTCACCATCTTACACGGCGTAGTTTGTGGCACCGCAAAACAATTACAATAGTAACATCGAAGAAAACTGATCACAGAACATCACAACAAATATAATAATAATGAAAAAGATTGAGATATTGCGAGAGTTACCAAATGTGGCACAGAAACATGAAGTGCGCAAATGCTGTTGGAAAAATGGTGCTGATAGACTTGCTTGACATGGGGTTGCTAAAGACCTTCAATTTGAAAAATGCAATCAATGTCTGTGAAGCACAATAAACCAAGCACAATAAAACATGGTACTCCTGTACTGCGTGTCCATCTGCTATTTTAAGTGTAAATGCAAGCACTTCAATATTAAGCCTTTTAATATTAAAACCTATTAAATATACACCGAGAGACGTTTTTGTTAGTAAGTAGATTAATAGAAGAGGATGACTACTCTCTTTATCATAGGCTGCGAAACTAATATTTCTGCCCAATGCACTTATTTGAATGGAAAACAGGTATATATAAAGTATGCTGAAAAGAAATACGACAAAACCCTTAAGTTAAGAAGAAGCTGACTCTATGTTAAATAATTCAAAAATAATATTATTTGGGGTAAATTTTACCTCTATGGGTAGTTAAACTTAGTTTTAAAAAATTCGGAGAGATATGACATTTAACATGCTACATGAGACTTTAGTAAAATAGTGATACTGACATATATTGGCTATGATGTATCTTTCCTACCTAAGATATTATTGTGATCATGGAGCCATTATTTGAAATATGCTGGAGTTATTTGGCATAAAGATACTATAGTAAATATGTTACATCAATTTTAATACCAAGGTACAATTAATAACTTTCAAGTTGAAATTCAGTTTATTTATATACGTCCTTCTCCAGATTCTCATCAAGTGGTACCCCTGTCTGTTATGTTTTAACAGATGTATGAAACACCAAAGAGGAAATATGTCAAATCAAATTGTTTATTATTTGATCTTGAAGATGATCCAGAGAAGCCAACTTCCAACGTTTAAATTCTGAGACCTAAAATAAGTATTTCAGAAAGACTCTCTTTTGTTGATTTCTAAAATGCACAGCAGAATCTCACTTCCTCACTACTGAATCCACCGTTAAGAAATGAAGAATTTCTTGAAAAGAATTTCTTTGTCGGACAAAGACCAAAGGTCTATCGAAATAAGTATTAAAAAAAATAGTTGGTGCTCACTTCAGCAGCACATCTACTAAATTGGAATGATACAGAGATTAGTATGGCCCTTCACAAGGATGACATGTAAATTCATGAAGCGTTACATATTTTTGGTATATGTGAAAGCTCTTAAGCGAGTAAATCTTGAGTTCTCATCACAAGAAAAAAACGTATATTTTTCTTTTTCTTTTTCTTTTTTTATAACTATCTGAGATGATGGATGTTAACTAAACTTGGTGCAATCATTTCATAATATTTGTAAGTCAAACCATTATGCTGTATATTTTAAATTTATATGGTGTTGTATGTCAATTATAGCTCAATAAAACTGGAAAAAATAGATTCATTATGCCATAAAGGCATCACATTGAATGGTCATAATAATAATAACAATGGCAACAAAATAATGTTAGTCTATTTTATTGAACACTGAGTTAGTGCCAGGTTCTGAAACAGATAGTGTCTCACAAAAATTCTTAGAAAGTCTAGGTTTTCTTAATTTGCAGACAGAGAAACTAAAAATGATTTCTTAATTGAACCACATAAAAACTTATACTAGAAGTACATAACTATCAGTGAAACAACTTTATTTCCAAAATGTAACTGGTGAATAGAATGTGTTCTTTGGGAAATAATATACTCCTTCTATTACTGGCACACAAATATTACTTTGGTTAAAAAAACTTGATTGATTGATTGATTGACTAGTTACGACAACTCTATTTACCCTCACTTTCAAATCTATTTTCAAGAATGGTCCAGCTGCTAAAAGTTTCAAAATTTTATCAAGGAGGAAAGAATGCTCTTGATAAATGCAGTGTCTTATTCTGTCAAAACATGACAAAATTTTAAAAAGTTAAATGTATTAAAACACAATTAAAAAAATTTCAAGGGCATGGTCTTTGGGTTTTTAACTCCGTTACGTCCATTTCAGTTTCCTTCAAACAGCAGACAATAAGGTCTTCGAGGAGATCCTGTAAGGATGTCTATGGTAAAATGCGTTTTTCCAAAAGACACTCAACAACTGTTGTTCACAGCTTATTCTCACAAGGATCACATACTACAAATCCAAAGCTAATTGGCCACTGTCATATTACCCTTGACTGTACTCCATTCTCATAATAAACTTAATAGTGAACGGTGGACAAGTGAAAGATTTCCAATTCATAATTAAATACAAGGAATTACAGATAGACATGGTAATATAGGATTTGAGGTAGATTAGTGAAGCCAAGGATCCATAATTGTCATACAAATGGGACTTGAACACATATAGTTTTCAATAAAAGCAGCAACAAATATGCATATATCATTAAATTTTTTGATACTCAAAAAGTGTATTGTTCTATGTAATTTCTGTATTTACTAGGATATGGTACTGCCCTGGTGGTAATGATTGGTTCAAGATGGTCCAATCACAGTAAAGAATTGACATCTATTTATTGATTGTATGAAGCAGCCTCTTCCATATTGAAAAAGGAAGCTACGTAATCCAAGTTGCAGGACCCATTTGTGTTCACCATGAGGAGACCTAGCTTATAGATTAAGCTACAATGCAGATGAAAGTAGAAAAATATGCTGAAACGTTGGTTAGGATCAGGAGTCAAGTCGTGCCTGGAGACAGCTTAGTTTTAGACTTTTCAGTTGTGTTCAACTGCTTTATTTATTTTGCATTGGATCCTTTATTACTTGCCGCTGGAAATGGTAGGGCTAATAGTTACCATATCTACAAAAAGGGTATTTATAGAATCTCTCTCAACTCTGATATGAAGATTATTACTCTGTCTAATTGACTTCTGGCACTCAACATATTTCTGTAAATGTTCATTGGTAAGCCTTTAGTGGAGAAAAAGACCAGGGTTTCCTGCAAGAATTTATTCCTTTTTTTTTTTAATCCTCAAAGAGTTTGTAGCTAGCCTAATTGAGACAAAGGAGACAAGTAAATCGTATTGATTTAATGTGATCAGCCCCTCCTCCAAAAAAAAATAATGTTATTGACAATAGCAACATTTTCAAGCTAACCCACAAAAATATCCTCAGCCCTGAAATACTTGGGCTGCTTTTTGATGTTCTTGGAGATGTTTATATCAGAATTAAACTACACAGCACGTTGAATAGCCTTTGAGCATTATCTAAACACTATTTATACAATTTGTTAATAGAAAATTATGCAGTGCTTTATAAATTTACTAAAAAATAGAAAAATAAATTAATCTATCTAGAAATATTTTGTAGCTAAAACCAAAATTGGTAAAATGGAATTTTAAAAGTATTGGGAAAGGACTAATATAGATAGCATTTATTTAATTCTACTTTCATAAACCGGTTTTTAGGGTCTCTGAAGAAACTCTAAAACACAACACAAAATGTACATATATATACACATATGTGTACATGCACATGCATGTATACCCAAATCTCTGAGGGGAAATTCCATAGTATTCCCCAGATTTTCAAAGGAATATAGAATCTAGGAAACACTAAAGATCAAGGGCATAGAATTCAATTTTCATAGGTTAGACCTTTTCTCATAGATACCATCATCTATTATGTCAATACGTAAATAGTAGTGAATATTTGGTGGTTTACAAAATGAAACTTGAGTTATAAGAAAGTGGTTAAACGAGAAGATTCTGGAGTCTGTCTGCCAAAGTTTGAATGCCAAGTTTGCCATGTACTGACCATGTGATCACAGACAAATACTAACCTCTCATTGCCTCCCTTTACTTATGTGTAAAATAAGAAATTTATAGTGCCAACCTTTTAGGTTTATTGTGAAGAATGCCAAGAAAATTCATATGACACATTTAGAATATAGCTTAGTCTAGAGTAAATGTTTATAAATGAGCTATTCTTATAGTACTTGGCTTTCTTTGGGAGGGAGGAACTTGCCCAGTTATACGTATGTATTGTGTGTTTATTTTACAATCTACCTGGACTATATGTTTATCCAAGATATCAAAGGATATATGGAATTTGTTACCTTTTATATCATTCTTAAATGATAAAAAAGTACATTTTTTTAAGAATATATGTATTTATACACACATATATTGAGTTAAAATGAAAAACCCAGTCTTTCTCTCCTGTTGCAGGGAAAAAAAATCTCAGTTTAGTTTGCCTCTTGTGTGTCTCCTTTACTACTCACACAAACACTTCACTTCTGACACTTCTGGTCATCAAATGTGTGGAGCTTTACCCCACAATAACCAATTCTCTGTGACACCAGCTGGGTGTCCTATAATTTAACTCAAGTCTGACACGATCTACCTAGCAACCGTGTCAGATCCCACAGGCTCAGAACTCAGTCCCATAAGACTACTCCCACTCCACTTCAGATGCCAATAGCAAGTAGCAGGTCCCCAGGTTACCTGGACCTCCTGTCTGATTTGGCTATGAATTGGAGGTTCCCACAACCCCCTCTTCAGTTTCCATTAATTTGCTAGAGCAGCTCATAGAACTCAGGGAAACACTTATGTTTAACAGTTTGTTAAAGGATATGATAAAGGATACAGCGGAACAGCCAGAATGAGAGATGCCTGGGACGAGGTCTGAGAGGATCTGGTGCACAGGAGCTTCTATCCCAGTGGAACTGAGGTGTGTCATCCTCCCTGTACACGGATGTGTTTGTCAGCCCGGAAGTTCTCCAAACCCCACTCTGTTGGGATTTTTGTGGATGCTTTCTCATGTAGGCATGATCAGTTATTAGCTCCATTTTCAGCCCCTCTCCCCTCTCTGGAGGATGGGGGGTGAGGCTGAAAATCCCAAGCCTCTAATCACGGCCTGGTCTTTTTGGTGACCAGTCCCCATCCAGGAGCCATGCAGGAGCCCACCCAGAGTCCCCTCAATAGAACAAAAGATGCTCCTAGTGCTCTTGTCACTTAGGAAATTACAAGGGTTTCAGGAGCTCTGCACCAGGAACCTGGGGCAGAGACCAACATATATATTTTCTATTATTTCACAATAGTAAAAGGATAAAGCAAGGGCATTAATTTCAAAACTTTGGATACCTTGAGAAGAAAAGTTTGGAGAACATGAGAGGAAAGTTATTTTAGATATTTTATATAAAGAAGGGGAGGGAGAAGGGAGCAAATATAGCAAAATAGATACATGGGTGAATAATTGTACCACATTATTTTCCATATATTTGAACATTTTAATAAAATATAAAATATGTCCAGACACATATATTGTAGAAATTTTAATGAACTTGGGCAACATTGGTAACTTTTTATTGGAAAATTACTGGCTCAGGACTACAAGTTATGAGATTATTTCAGAAAACCTTTTTTATGAAGTACTGTTACCACTTCTAAATATATACTAAATGTATTATTTATAGAAAAATCTCTAATTCCTGTAAATCACAGTATATAATGACTACATAGGATAACAGCAAAATAAGATCAACTCTTTCTCTTAGTAAAATAAAATATTTAGATATCGACAAAAACTGCAAGTTTGTGTTATCAGTGGACACATGTTCATCTGATTAATTTTCATGTCTGATATAAAAAGAAATATATTATATTGCACTAATTGTAAATTATTTCACTTAAATAAGTTTTTGTAACCCTTTGGGATATTTAATTCATTACAAAGACTGCTTTTTTGGCTGGGTTTTAGTTATAGTTAGAATTAGAAAGGATATTGGATATATATGTTTATACACAATACAGACAGACACCTACATAATGCTGTTACGTAATTCCTATGATGCGTAAGATATTTAGACAATTATTTAATACCTACTACGTGCCAAGATCTGGGATAGACCGTAAGAAGGTAACATTATAAGTTGATGATTTTTAACCAAATAATTACAATATTGTGAATTACAAATTACATGTAAATATATCTGTGTAAAACGTGTTACAGAAGCCAAGAAAAAGGTGTGAAAATTCACAGACTGTGATTTCTGTGAATTTCTCTCGCAAAATTCCATCTTGGATCCCATTCACACTATCATCTACGCAGGGGCGGGCTGCGGGGTTGCGATGGAGCTATTTACCCAAAACAATGAATGAAAGGGATTCTGTTGGAATCTTGCCACGTGGTGGCTCTTTGCAGAGAGAGCAATCTGTCTACATGAAGACTGCTGCCTTCATCAAT